TTTCTTGTAACTTTTCCTCCGCCGCTGATGGCCCTTCCGCAGTTCGGCGACATTTGCTGCGGAGAGTTCCTGTCGGATGAGTAGATCTTCCGTTTTTAGAGCCGGGTTATAGTTGCCGTCCTTTCTCCCGGTTCTTTCCACATACGTCGTCCTTCTCCCTTCTTCATTCTGGGGGTGTTCGTGAACTCTGTTTTTCTGGACGGTGGAACGGCTTCTTTTTCTTTTACCTTCAATTTTTCCGCGGGGCAATTTTCTTTTCACTTGCTCTCTTCTGTCTCTCATTGGCTTGCCCTTGTACTTGTCGTTTTCCCACCTCTGGAACTTGTACCTGCGGTGTCTGCCGTGCCGGATCCTGCAAAAGATCTGAAAAGATTTGCATTTTATTACGATCGAAGTAGGGTTTAATTTGATCAATGTTTGCGGAACAGGTTTCACCATTTCTGGCCTTTAACACTACAACAGCGTGAGTTATTTTTTCTATAACATATGGTCCTTCAAATCGTGGAAAAAAATTTGGCAGTTTTATCTTCTGGTGCTGAAGAAAGTGAATGCTTAATTTTTTTAAAACTTCATCCCCTACTTTATAAGTTACTCCCCGTCGTTTCAAGTCATAATATAATTTCTGTTTTCTTTGTGCTACTTCCGTATTCTTTTTTGCTTCTTTTATTAGTTTTTCTATATCACCCATTTTAAATTCTGGGGCTCTTTGTTGCACATAAAATAGTTTATCTAACGGTGTTATAATCTTTCTGCCTAGAAAATAACTCAGCAGGAGTTTTGCCCGTTGTATCATGTTTTGCGGTCCTAAGGGCGAAAGCAAATTCATTGACATAGTTATCCCAGCTTTTATGAAAATTTTTAACATAACTACGGATAATTTTCACTATATTTCTGTTGACCCGTTCCGCTATATTTGATTGCGGCCGATACGGGACCATTTTTAAATGACGTATGCCCAGTTTTTGGCACATGTCTTCAAATATATTACTTACAAATTGAGGACCATTATCCGATATAACTTTTAGGGGCGCCCCGTATTTTAAAATATATTTATTTAAAATAGAATCAGTAACTAATTTCGCGGAGGCTCGTTTTAAGGGAACAATTTCGGTCCATTTACTAAAATGATCAACCATAACAAGGAGATAGCGACTTTTATTTAACTGACTTTTTGGGAAAGGGCCCAATAAATCGATGCCAATTATTTCATTTGGAAATTCGGATTTAATACTATTTAGAAACCCGGCCGGGCGGAAATTAATATAATTAACGGCTTGACATGTTGGGCAGGACTGGACATACGCCCTTGTTAACTTTTGCAGTTCAGGAAAGTAGACTGCCTCGCGTACGCGTTGGATAGTTTTTCGAATACCAGCATGAGAAGCTAAAGGGCTGTCATGGAGCTCCTTGCAGGATATTTAATCTAAGACTAGCTGGGATAACAGGTCGAAATTCGTTGTTGGAATTCGTAGTTTTTGTATAGAATAATAGACCATCTATTAGTTCGTAATGGGCCGCCCTATTTCTTATCGCCACAATATCTTGGTGGCTAAAATTTTCAGGATCCTTCAAATACTCATAAATACTTCCAAACTCAGGATCCTTACCCAGTTCGGTTATTACAGTTTCTCGGGAATTTATTGTACACGCTGTGTCAGCATTGCCAACTTTACGGTATTACCCTGTTCGTCTAATTTAATTCGTGATAGGGCATCTGCTACGATATTTTCCTTTCCGGGGGTATGCTTGATTACCAGATTATATTCTTGCAGCTTGAGTGCCCATCTTATTAACCTTGGGGATAAATTTTTCCCTGAGTACAATCTAGTTACCGCCGCATGATCAGAATATACTGTTATCGGCGCCTTTCCAAAATAGACTCGGAACTTTTGCACTGCTAACAGAACTGCAAGTGCCTCTCTCTCGGTCGCGGAATAGTTTCTTTTGTGTTTGATTTAAAGTTCGGCTAAAAAATGCCACGGGCTGCTGATTTTGCGAAAGTACCGCTCCTACCGCATAATCCGAAGCATCCGCTGAAATTTCTAAATTTTCATCCTTTTCAGGAAATTTCAACACAGGGGCTTGCGTTAATGCTTGTTTTAATTTTTCGAAAGCACTATTGGCTTCGGCCGTCCACGAGAATCTTGCCTTTTTCCTTTTTAATTTTAACAATGGCTCAGCGATAGCCGCAAAATCTTTTATAAAGGACCTATAATATGAACAAAGTCCTAGAAAAGAAGAGAGCTTCTTTGCCGTGTTTGGAGTCGGATACTTTTGTACAGCGATTATTTTTGATTCATCTGTCTCGATCCCTTTTTGCGATATTTTGTAACCTAAATATTTTAATTCAGGGGCTGCAAATTTGCACTTTTCGACATTAACTTTTAGACCGGCCTCATTTAATAAAGAAAACACCTGTCTTAAATCCTGTACATGTTGGTCGAGATTATCACTAGTAATAATGATATCGTCTAAATAGATAAATGTGGACTTTCCAAGAACAGGTCTTAACACAATGTCCATGCATCGCTGAAATGTTGCTGGGGCGCCTGAAAGGCCAAACGGCATTCGCAAAAATGCATAAGTGCCAGACTTGGTTATAAAAGCAGTCTTAGGCACGTCCTCAGGCCTGACCCCTATTTGAAAATAACCATTCGTTAAGTCTAAAGTCGTCATAAATTTGGTTGATTTTATGTTCCTTAAAATTTCTTCTATAATCGGTAACGGATATACCGGATATTTCGTTATGGAATTTAATTTACGGTAATCAATAGCGAATCTCCACCTTTTTGGATGCTCCAAAGGATAATCATTATTTTTCTTACATAAAACCACCGGACTAGCATAACTACTTGAGATGGGCGTTATGATCTTTTTACGTAGCATATCGGTAATATGCCATTCTATAATTTTTTCCTTATTCTTATCATACCGGTATGGTTTTTGACGAACCGGCAATGCATCTCCGGTGTCAATACTATGGTTAGTAACCTGAGTAAATCCTGGAATATCACTAAATAAGGAAGCAAATTCACTTACCACTTGTCGGATTCTATCTTGCTCGTCATTAGGCAGGTGGTCAAGATTTAACCTTGGCGGTTCAACCTTTTCTACACGCACTGGTTTCATCGTCAGCTTAAGGGACGCTTCATTAAAATCCAGTGTAGCTTGTGCGTCTGAAAGAAAGTCTATTCCTAGATTAAATGTGCTTGCAAATTCTTTACTATAAAAAACATCACCTTTACTTGTTCGTCCTTGATACGGATGTACAAAGGTACTTTACCTACGCACTTACATTGTTCTCCTTGCGCCCCGCTAATACTGTTGTATTATCCGCATTATATATGCGGTATTTGCGAAAATACTTTCTAAAAAAGACTTCTGCCACACAGGAACACTGCGCGCCGGTATCCAGGAGTGCGGTGGCCGGGATATTATTTACCAAGACTTCAATCTTCGGAAGAGTTAAATTTTTCACCATTACTGTATTTAACTTGTAGGAAGAGGGGTTTTCGTGGCCTTCGGATTTCCGCACCCTCTCGTCAGCAGAAATCCGTTTTAGTTTAAATTATTTTTCCTTTCGGTGCTTTCCTTCTTTTCTCCACTGGCCTTGAGACTTTTTTCCTGGGTTGCTATTGAACTGTCGACGTTCGCCGGCTGTTTTTGAATGCTCGGGTTTCCTTGCCCACTGATTCGCTTTTTCTCCGTAGCCATGTGCTTGAGTTTGCTGTAGTCTTGGCGTACCAAATTGGTTTCGCTGTTGATATTGGCGTCTTCTTTCGACGTCCGCCGTTCTTCTACTTTCAAACTGGATTGCTAGCTCAAATAACTTTTCCAGTGTAGTCGGATTTCTTAATTCAATAAAGTCTTGCACTTGGGGTAGTAACCTCGGCAAAATCACTTGAATTATTTCAGGATCCGGACGGTTTCCATACAAGAGCTTGAAAACGTGAATTTTTCTTAAAATAAAGCTCGAGAGGTTTTCCATTCTTTGTTGATATATACTGAAAAGTTCTGTTTCTAATTTCGCACGATCCCTTACAACAGGGAAGGCTTTTAGTAGGGCAGTCTTGAAATTTTCGTAAGTATAGGTGGGACTTCCTGCTTGACCCAAGAGACTTCTGCCGATACATTTGAACCAGTTAAGCGCTTGGCCCCTCAAAGCGCTGGTAGCTAAGGTAACTTTTTGAAACTCGTGCACGGGGTAGAGCATGAAGTGGTCATCCAATTTTTCCAAAAAACTGGTTACCTGTGAGTTTCCATTAAACGTTGCTTCTGGTTTCATCGAAGCGCGCATGGTCTGGACGATGTACCCAAATCCTTCCAGGGCGGCAGCTGGCATTTCTGGATTCTGAGCCGTTTCTGCAGGCAGCACAGGTTCTTCTTGAAACTCGGCCATGGTTATTCTTCGTCGGGCGCCACTATCAGGTTCAATGTTTCTTCTTTAACCTTCTTCGGAAACATACAATGACCTGACTAGAACAGAGAGCTTACTAAAGCTATGTTCACTAATTGTAGTAAGTAGACAGGATACAGACGAAGGGTATACAAAACCCTTTATTTTTCTTTATATACAATGACTTCCGTACTTCGGAATACAATGACCCTCCACTCGGGGTCTAACGTAAAAGATATCAAAATAAAACTAAACTCTAATTTAACTTTAGAATAAGATTGGCCTTATAATAACAGGAAGCGTATGTAGCACAGAGACTGTGAACACTACAATACGTTTAATTTATCAAGAGGATTAAAACCTCTGGCCTGGAAGGCAAAGTAGCAACTGCGTAACTTCTAAGGTAAGCGGCCTGCTTCGAACTCACGGCTTCCTCTCTTCTGCTTGGCAAAAAGGCCACACTTAAATACTTGGCGTTCGCCAGACAACTTTGCATAAACTCCTTCACGCTTATAATTCTGGCCGGAAGTAGAAAATAAGAAGTGATAGTAAAGATTTAAAATAAAATAAACGTTAGTAAAACTTAAGATCCTTACAACCTTACCTTTTATTAAATACGGCTCCTGCAGCAATATGATATCAGGTAAGACTCCAACCACATTTTGAACAACAGAGAGCTGGGCAGCAGCAACAGCACAATGATTCAAATTAATACTTATAATGTGCATCAGTGTTTCAAACGCAGAAACATAAAATAGACAGAAGTAGATTTACAAATAAAGCATATATAAAAATTGAGTTAAAAATTACAATTTATAAACAACAGCCCGATCGCAGTTAAAATACAATAAAAATAATATATTAGAATTCCTATATACATAAATGATCTGATATATATTTTATTTCACGTTTATAAGTTTCACAGTTTTAAGATAATACATGAAGATGTATATTGAAATTAGTGCCATATTTGGAGTTTGAAATCTTACAGTTAATGCAGACCCTATCCCTATTAGTACATTCTCTAGCTTCATGAGATCCTGAACATTTCACACAAACAATCTCGTTTCTACAGTTTTTAGTTGTATGTCCAAATTTATAGCAGTGTAAGCATCTTTTAGGATCTTAAATAAATCTTTGCGGAGTATGCTTTCTAGCCAATACGCACCCTATTATCCTCCAAAACGGTGGCTTGGCACTGGGGATTAACCCGAAATACTCTATGAGAGATCTCGCTAGGGTCCTTACACTTCAATCTGAACAAAGGTCGCACACAATCTCCCGGGCAGCAACACTCCTCCATCATCTTATTCATAATTTCTTCATCTTTGATCAAATTGCAGACGTTATAAACCATTATTTTTGGCTGGATGAACCTCTTTCTTTGTGTATGCAATTTATTCCTTAAATTAGCCTTGGATTCAATTAGACTCTGTATCTCGTCCACTTGTCCGCTTTCCTTAACTCTAAATACCAATTCCCCATTTTTCCTTGTGTGTGAGCTCATCACTTTAACCTTTACTTCCTCCGGTTTCACGTTAGTAATCAGCTCTTCATATACATCAATCCTCGGAGCGGCCGGTCTTACCACCAATTCATTTTCTCTCCAATCTTTATCTCTTTCCTTGTATCCTTCTCAATTTGCTTAGGATAATCCCTATGTAAGATATCTTTAATTTCTTCTGTATTCCGTTTAATTTCACAAAGGATATCAATTTTAGTGTGAAAGAGATAGTCCTCTATTACCTTTTAATTTTTTTGCAATTAATAATTCTACTACCTTTAGTCAAGCCCTCCGTGATTTCACGTGAAACTCTTCTGATTTTTAATTTATACACAAATTGACAAAGAAGCCTGACAGTGGACAAGACACTACCCTCTTCTTCATCCTCTCCATCTTTTCCGTCATTACAATTTAAGCCCTCCTTCATCATTTCAGAATTATCAAAGTTTTCGTTCTCAGTTTCAATCATTTGCCTACCTTTATCATTCTGTAACTGACTCATTTTACAATACAATTTAAATATCAATCAATAAAAAATAAATTCAATCTCTTCAACACTGCGAAAGGGCCGTATATAAAAAGAATAAAGTTAAAACATATCTACAACTTTAAAATATCAATACTACAACACAGAAAATCACAATACACAAAACAAACACAATAACAATTAATCATAAAAGACTGCAATTGTTATAGTACAATCTTATTCAAGATCTAAAATCTTAAAAAGAATAGAAAATACTTTATAAAAATGTCAAAACTTTTTTCAAAATGGAATATAATCCCTAAAAACACTTAAAAACCATAAAAATACAATAAAACACACAAAATGTACAATTCTATGCCAAAAATCAAATAATCGACCAACGGGCCGAAGGATTAACTTATCAGTGCACCCAGGTATCGGGTAGTTACTCCTAGAAATAATATAATGTATGGTATGGACATTCCCTGCTTGATCACGATACCTGTATGCAGGAATGTCCACATTGCAATCTTTTTGTTATAGTAAAATCTTATTCAAGATTTAAAATCTTAAAAAGAATAGAAAATACTTTATAAAAATATCAAAACTCTTTTCAAAATAGAATATAATCCCTAAAAACACTTAAAAACCATAAAAATACAATAAAACACACAAAATGTACAGTTCTATTCCAAAAATCAAATAATCGACCAACGGGCCGAAGGATTAACTTATCAGTGCGCCCAGGTATCGGGTAGTTACTCCTGGAAATAATATAAATGTAAATTGTGGACATTCCCTGGGTCAAGCAGGTCCCTTATGTTGGGGTGATCCTCAATAAATCTCTTACATGGAACCCACACGTTACACATATTCTCAGGAAGTTTCGAGCTAGTAAAGCTTCACTCTTCCCCTTAATTGCTCGAAACAGTGTTCTATCTATTGATAATAAGTTGCTCATTTACAAAACCATGTTGCGTCCAATTCTTAGTTATGCATGCCTCGTCTGGGCATACTCGTGCAAAAGTTTGAGAAGGCAGTTACAAGCTGCCCGAAACGGGGTATTGCGTATGATATGTAATGCCCCCTGGTACATTCGGAATAGCCAAATTCGTAAAGAGTTAAGAATAGAGGATCTTTGTGATTTTTTATTGCCGCCTATCTAGGGCATTTATGATAAACAGGAACTTCTGGACAATCCTGTGGTTGTTAACTCTATTGTTATGATACTAGGGACCCCAATTTCAGTAAACGCCCAAGGGCGATCCTAAATGTTAGTAATAATGTAATTTTGTATATATGTGTTATGCAAATTGTTGCTCAGATTCTTTATTGTATATTGTTCTTTTTTCCTCCTGATTGCATTTTGTTTTTACTAGTGGCACTAAGGCGTCGCACTTCGTATTTTGTTTCTCTTGTGCGTACATGTATTCTTCTGTGAAATAGTTATTAAAAAAATAGTTAATTATGTATGGATTAGTAATTAGGTACTTAAGGAAAAAAATATGTATTTAACTATTAGCAATTATGAATTTAAACTCTTACTCATTTAATTATTTAGCACATTCAGTTATATTTCTCATAATTCGAAACTTTTATCATGTTATTCGATGAGGGGTAGGGCTATGGCGCCCAAGCACCCTGGTGGTTAAGCACCGCAGTTCAATGTATGTATTGGAAACAAGGAGGTTAGAATACATGGAGATGCCCTGCGCGCAGTCCAAGTGAAGCCAAAAAGTGGGGGAAAGCATGCCCTTAGTAGTCGTGGCTTTAGAAAGATTGACGAGCTCTTCAGCCAATGAGGCAGAACCTAGCCACACCCAGTTTCGTAAATTAAAGACCGTGGATTCTTCGCGCGCTTTTTCCTTCACTTTTTCCCGCCATTTCATTTTATTTCTACATTTTCTATCATCTTGTAGACGGCTGCAATATTGTTCCGAGAAGCAATTTTTATTCCTGCCAAAATGGTAAATTCCTGCGTCGCTTTCGGCTGTACAAATAGAAGAATAGCAGGATCCGGTATTACATTTCACAGGTAAATATTCTTTTAACATATATACTATCATTTATTTAATTATACTTTGCTCAAAGTTAGATAAAAATTTGCTGTGCATGTTTAAAACATATCCAAGGAAACGGCTGCAAGTGCTGATAATTGTATCAATTCTAATGATTATCAGGATATGCAGAGGGAAAATACAGTACAAAGGGACTGATTCCATTAAAAAAATACAGTACAAAGGGACTGATTCCATTAAAATGAGTTAAATGAGAAATGCATTATGTAATTACATGCTGTCATTAATGAATGCTAGCAATAAAGGTATTGTGAAAATAAATAAATAAATACTCAAACCATTAATTGATTATATTTTAGTTATTCTAAATATATACAGGTATAATTCTCAATTTTCCATGTTAGAAATACTACTTACGTTTTGAAAAATATTAAATTGCATGAACAATGATAAAAAATAATATTTAAATTCTGCATTGTTATTTTTAAAACTCCCACAAATTTCACCCCAAATTAAATCCTGTTATTAAATATTTACTTGAACAGAAAATAAAATTAAATACATAAAATATGACTTGTAATGTAATATGATCACACCTTTAAAATAACGCGTTTTCTTTTCCACGATGAGCTGACCACTCCCCCTTCCCTTGTTTACTTACCGTTTTGCTTTTACAACTCAGTTAATTACGAGTATAATACTCAAACCATTAATTGAAGAAAATCTGAGAATTATAGATGTTCTTCGCGCACGTCACACCGAGAAAATACTCAAACTCTTTGCTGACGGCTTTTCAAACGCACATTTCAATTATTCTACTTATTTATGCATGTTAAAAAACATTCTTTTATATGAAAATGAAATCCGAAATGTAGACATTATTTCAATGTAACCATTCAGTACCTTATAACCCTCTCACGTCTTCACATAAGAAATCAGAAAACACACTCAAAACTTCAAACAAGCTGACGTTTAACCTCACTTCACATAGTAAGGGAAGCGTTTTCTTGCCCTCACGAGGCGTGGCTTATTTGCTTCCCCCGGCTTCACTCTCCTCGTATTGCGACAGCAGAGACGCCATCTCCATGTATTCTAACCTCCTTGATTGGAAATAATATATCTACAATAAAGACATTTATTCACTTTGCTAAAAGTCTACAAGTCCCGGTGCAAAATACAAAGCTCAAAAGGTAAACATTTGGTCACCACGTTAAGCCTAATCGTAATACTACGAAATAAAAATGTTCGTAACTTGAAAAATATCAGTCTCTGAAGCTTGAAATTAAGCACAAGCGTGAAAATAAGTATAATCTTGTAATGCATACACTCAAAATCTATTTACACAGTCTCTTTAAAGCAATACAAGCATAAAAACGTACTTGCGTATGCAAATGAGGCAAACGACCAGCTTCAGATTTAAAATGCTTCAATCTTCGAAAATAAAGCACATCCTTCAACAAAATGCATATGAAATAAAACCGGAACACATTCTGAAACCAATAAAAGCACTTTCACAAGAAAATATTCACCATTTACAGAAAATATAACGAATTTTTCAGGAGCTCAACCAACCAACCAACATCGCGCAGGTCTGGGTATGCGCGGAGGGGGTATGCGAGTTGCAATTGCCCTCCCCAGAGCGTCCCAGACATGCTGTATAGGGTTGAGGTCAAGAGACCTGGCTGGCCA